ACAGGCTCCTATCTCCAGCAGGGTTGTCCCAAGGGTCTCTCCCAGGTACTATAAGGATTCACAGGGACTGTGAGTCTATTTGCATGTGATTTGAATACATTTACATAAGCCTTGTGCACTCTGTAAGTCTGTGTGGAGGTGATTTTCAAGGGCTGGGTTCCTCCCGCCTTTCCTTGGAAGACAGTGATGTGTAACAGGGTCCTTCTGCCGGCGCCGCGGCTCACTAGGCTAATCCTCCACCTTGCGGCGCCGGCACACCGGGTTCTAGTCCCGGTCGGGGTGCCGGATTCTGTCCCAGTTGCCCCTCTTCCAGGCCAGCTCTCTGCTGTGGCCAGGAAGGCAGTGGGGGATGGCCCAGGTGCTTGGGCCCTGCACCCCATGGGAGACCAGGAGAAGCACCTGGCTCCTGGCTTCAGATCAGCGTGGTGCGCCAGCCGCAGCAGCCATTGGAGGGTGAACCAACGGCAAAGGAAGACCTTTCTCTCTGTCTCTCTCACTGTCTACTCTGCCTGTCAAAACAAAAAACAAAAAAACAAAAAAACAGGGTCCTTCTGCACTTGCTCTGTACTGTGCTTCCGGAAGTGGGTATGCAGAGGTGGGCGGGAGGCAGAATCCGAGCCCAGAGGGAATGCATCCATTAGAATTAGCCCTGTTCCTTTAGACTAAAACCAAGTGGCTGTTCATGGAGTGCCTGCTGCTGAAACACAGTTTGAGGTGCTGGAGATGCAAGTTGAACTGCAACCTTGCCCCCTTTACCATTGATTTTAATGACGCAGGATGGTTATAAAAAAATCAAGAACAAGCAGAGATGGAAAGGAGATAAATCCAGGTAGCATGGACAGCTATGCAGAAAATAAAACTTGGAGTTGACTCAAAGATGGACTCCAGGAGAGGCCGGATAGCCACCTTCCGTGGCAAGCATGTCCTGGGGAAATGACCGTGACCTCCATAATTTCACAGGGGATTTGTGAGCAGCTGGAGAGAGCCCTCGAAGCAGAGGGAGCAGGAGGCACAAAATGCTCTGTGTCTAGCGTGGTCTTTGGCGCTTTGACCCAGATTCAAAAGGCCAGTGTCCGTGTAGCTTGGCCGGAGACAGTGGCGTACAATCAAGCAACTCAGGTTACAGCATCGAGCTTCTGGATCAAGTAGTGAAACATTTACGTTCAGTTCAGAAGGAGTCTGTTAAATACTAACTAGCAGAATGAGTTTCCTAATTTATTTTTGCATATCATTTTGGTCACTACAAATAGAATGGTGGGAAAGAAGGTAAAAGGAGATGGTGAGTGTTAGGGCATTTTTGCATTGGAATTTGTCCAGGTTTTTTTTTTTTTTTTTTTTTTTAATAGCAGTACCTTAGTCTGAGTCAGTGGCTTTCAGGAAGGGGAGAATTTTCCAAGTTTAAGCCGAGGAATGGATTGCACAGGATGTTTGAGGGTAATGGAAGAATCAAGCTCCTGATCAAACATTTTTGTACAACCAAGCAGTTGGGAATGCTGTTTGTTGCAGGGGACAACTTGTAAGGAACAAGATTCAGGAGTGGAGAGTGAGTAGAAGTTGAGTTTTCCTGCCTGTCACATGTTTCTGAAAGGTCTTTGTTATCCCTACAAGTGTGGGAGGGGAACAGAATTGTTGAGGAGAAAGGATCAGAGATGGGCAGAAGTGTGACAGCAACGCGGATGTGGTCATGATGGCCTGCACAGCCTCATTCCGTTTTGCAGCTCTCGCATTTCTAGTGGGGTCTTATAGAGGAGACCTTATTGGTTTCCTCTTTTAATTCAGGGTGGCAGAACTGAGATGGTGTGCATCTCTTCATGAGGGACAGTATCACTTAATATCCATTGTTTTTTGTTTGTTTGTTTTTGACAGGCAGAGTTAGACAGAGAGAGAGAGAGAGAGAGAGAGAGAAAGGTCTTCCTTTTTCCATTGGTTCTCCCCCTAAGTGGCCGCTACGGCTGGTGTGTTGCAGCCGGCACGCTGCGCCAATTCAAAGCCAGGAGCCAGGTGCTTCCTCCTGGTCTCCCATGCGGGTGCAGGGCCCAAGCACTTGGGCCATCCTCCACTGCACTCCCGGGCCACAGCAGAGAGCTGGACAGGAAGAGGAGAAACTGGGACAGAATCCGGCGCCCCGACCGGGACTAGAACCCAGGGTGCCGGTGCCGCAGGCGGAGGATTAGCCTAGTGAGCTGCGGCGCCGGCCAATTTCCATTGTTTTTATATTGAGTAGACATTTTCCATCAGCACACTTGGTAAGCTGATAGAAGACACATAGGTAAGTAGGTAAGTAGATAGGTGGATAGGTAGACAGGTGTATAGATGGGTAGACAGGCAGACAGACAGACTCATTGGTCCAAAGAAACGAAGATGATCAAGGCAAATGAGAGAAGCGTGATTTCTGGGCCATCTGAGATACCACTTAGAAATCTGTATCTTTACAAAAATAAAAGGCCATTGATACAACGTAGTATTCTTGAGAGGTACATCAAAGTTAGTTGACAGGTGCACACGCACAGAATGATATGCTGCAGGTTCATATACAAAAGGAATTACTTAAGGGAACTAATAGGGACATGTGTGGGGCTGAAATTGTGACACAGTGGATTAGGCTGCTGCTTGAAACACCAGCATTCCATGTCAGACTGCCAGGTTCAACTCCTGGCTACTGTACCTCTCATCCAGCTCCCTGCTAATGCACCTGGGAAGGCAGCAGAAGATGGCCCAGTTACCTGGGACCCTGTCACCCACGTGGGAAACCAGGAGGGAGTTCCTGGCTGATGGTTTCAGCATGGGCTGGACTTGGCCGTTGCAGCCACTTGGAGAGTGAACCTGTGGATTGAAGATCTCTGTTTCTCCTTCCTATCACTCTGCCTTTTAAATAAATTAATTTTTAAAACTAAGAACGTATACATGAAACAAAACCTGAGTGAATAGTGTGAACAAGGCTCCATCTTGTATAGCAATAAAATGTAGATCCATAAACAATTTAAAATAGGGAACAGAGGGAAGAAGAGAAGTGATAAATTCGCAGCCTAATGATTCATTTGATATGACTCCATATTCAAAGAAATGAAGGTTTAGATACACAGAGAACATGGATTAAATACGTCTGTAGCTTTGTTTTCAGCTACTTTGCTGTACGTGTTCTCATATTCCAAATGACTTGAACTGTAGACTGCAGTTTGAAGATTCTCAGGAATTGGTCATTTTCCTCTCTTAAGAGGTAGTGGAATTTCATTTGGTCGAATTGAAGTCATTTCCCACATTCATAAAGCACGTATTTGGAAATGCCTGGGGTCATTTTTGTTTTATATCACTAGAGAAATTCCTCTAAGGCAAGATGTGATTGCTATAAGAGAGGGAGGTGTCAGTATAAAGGCTCAGAAACCATGAGGGCAGTAGGACTCTGAGTATCATGTCTCTTTCTATAAGTCTAAAATGGTGCCCAGGAGTTCCATTAATATGCCTCCCAGTAGCAGAAATGTGACACTTTGTAAAACCCTGTCCTAAGATCAGTGTTTGGGCTGTAAACCACCTAGATTATTGAAGGTAAAACACAAAGTTTTTAGAAAGAAAACTATTCTTAGAAAGTTCTAGAACATTCTGGATTTCAGCAGATCCAGGGACCTATCTATAGAGACACTAATCTGCTGTCTTCCTTAGAGATCTCAGGAATACCTGTCAGATAGTCTTAGGGACACAAGCAAGAAGTCACACCTCTCCTTTATGGGAGGATTGTAGAGAGTTTTCATTGGCACAAATATCTTCTCCCACTTCCGAAATTTACCATTACTTTTTCTCAGGAACATGTAGTCAATTACCTTTTGCACTTGATCCCCTGCCCAAGAATACCAAGGCAAGGCGGCACACCTGTCCTTCTATGTCTTTCAAAAAATCTATAATGGATGTTTTCACAGGGACCAGCAGAAAATGATCACAAAACCCTAAAAGCCTGATGATTCTTTGGAGGTTGCTTCATAAACAATGCCACATGGGTCTAATGTGCTTCTGAGTTTGTGAATATTCTCCTGTGCTCTTTTCCTGAGTAAAAATGCCTAAAGCATCAGGATTCATTTTACTGGAAACTGTCCATCCAGAACACAGGAGTGTATTAATTTCATAGACAGGTTATTTGAAAATTACCTTAGATATGTGCACCAAGAATTTTTTTAAAGATTTATTTATTTAAGAGAGATTGAGAGAGACAGAGCAAGAGAGAGAGGTCTTCCATCCTCTGGCCCACTCCTCAAATGGCCACTATGGCTGCAGCTGGGCCAGTGGTCTCCCACTGGGTGCAGGGGCCCAATCACTTGGGTGGTATTCCTCTGCTTTCCCAGGCACATTAGCAAGGAGCTGGATCGAAAGTGGAGCAGCAGGGACTCAGACCAGCATCTATAGATGCCGGCTTTACCTGCTGTGCCACATGCTGGCCCTGATTAAGTATTTTACAGTTCCTCAATGCATTACAGTGTATTCCACAGTAAACCTCTAGGGAATATAGTATCATCTCCCTTGGTATACATAAAACAATTTAGAATTCTGTAATGTGTAGGGGTCATAATTAGGAATAACAACTGTCAGTGTGTTGCTGTTTCGAGTTTTGGTTATGTAAGCTTTCAGGTTTCTGTAAACTTAATGCAAAGGGAAGGGCATAAAGGATGGATTGCCAACAGTGATACATGAAATAAGACAAAAATTGAAATTGTTAGAGCGGCTCTAGTGAATATTGATACAGTTGAAAATTAATTACAACGTTATTTTCAAAAGGTTCACCTGTAGCTGGTCAGTAGTTTCCATTCCATTAACTTCGGCTGGCAGAAAATCAAAGGACGTAATTCCATTTTCTTATGTAAGGTTTTCAAATATTCATGCCCAACCTGTTTATCCTTTATATTGTAAAATTAAAAAAACACACACACACTTCAACCTCTTTGACTTTTGGTTCATTTGCAATGATGAAAGTTGTTGCATCAAGTGTAATAATGTTTCTGTCGATTTCTTTTAAGGCTGGAAATTGAATCCAGTTGTGGGTGCAGTCTACAGTCCCGAATTCTATGCAGGTAAAGAGTTTCTCTTTGCACGATGTCTTCTCCATCTTTTCTCAGTGTGCTTTGTCTGCCGATAATGGATTTTGTAAAATTATCTGAACCAAGTGAATCCCTGTCCTCCCAAGTTCTAAGTGACTTCTTTGGGCAAAACCAAGAGTTTTAAAAACCCTTTAAAAATTAAAGGGGAATCATGTAAGTCACATTTTTGATCACATGTGAGCCACTGCTCCTGTGACAGTCTTCACTGATTTTGCAAAAATTAAAAAAAAAAGCGTTGAGGCTTTGCTTAGTACATATTGAACAAATGGAGAGGGCTTCACGCTCACAGTACTTGAGTGTGCCTGAACGCGTCTTTTGACTGTACACATCCATTCAAAGTTGCATTTGTTTTCTGGCAAAGCAGAGAGTTGGCTTAATTATTCCAATAATGTAGTGGTGATTTGGAATTACCAAGAGAAGACCTTTTTAGAAAACTGGAAAAAATAAGTGGCCATCCCACATTAATCTCTTCCCTTAACCATCCTGCTTCTCTCTCTGCTGCTGCATGGATGTGTGTGTGTCTCCTCACCTCTCCCCTACCTTCCCTCTACTGGGAAACCTAGTGTCTCAGACAACTCAGTTGCCCGTTCTGGGGACAGCGTATGCAAAGCCACACGGCCGTGTTCATGTGTCGATGCACTTGGCTTAGCCTCTCGCTGCTGCCTGCTGTCTCCTTGCCCAGCAGTGAGGCGGCGCTGGGTGCCTAGAGCCTGGATAGTAGATTTGGCACATGGGTATGGAAGTCTTCCTGTGATGTGGGTCTTTGTAATAAATTATACTAAATGACCAATTGACCTAGAGCCATTTGGTGATTTCTCGAAGGTAAGTTGTACCCCTTGCTGTGTTTCTTCCCATGGAGACTTCAATTCTGTCATTTTCTGAGTCTTGAGCATTGACCCTGCAGGATGAGAAAGGAACAAAGAGAACTTAGCTACTCTAGGGTCATCAGCAATTTGATTAAATGTGGGAAGTATCAGAAGGCTCTGTATGCTAGCAAGCTCTTCATACTAGGTAGACAGAGTATGCCACTGGTCCTCAGGGAGTTTGACCAGCAGCCTAAGTTAAGTCCAGGAGACCCTCCCACTGTGGGTAACTGTGTGGACGCTGTGGGGAGCAGAGACTTAGCTCTAAGGCTTTCCGTGACTATGTCATGCACCCCACACAGAGCAGAGTGAGGACTGTGGAACCGTGCCCACACAGCCAGGGTTCCAACCTGACTCCTTTGCACACCAGCTGTGTGACTCTGGGAAAGTGATTCAACCTCTCTGTGCCTCAGTTTCTTTGTCAAAGGGGGATGATGATGATGAAAATCACAAGTGGATAGGTGTTCATTTAAATCAAGTGGGTTACACATCATGAGGGGTTCGTTGTAATATATACATGTTTGGTAAATAAAAATGGAACAGGGGATGTTCTGTTACTGTAAGGGGAAGAGAGCCACTCGCCGATTCTGCTAAATTCTGCGTGTCTCATTAGACCGAGAGATTGTTCGCTTTGCTCATGAGAGGATTGGTCTTCTCATTCTCAGCCTGTCCGTTGGTGGGGAATCAGCTTCTGGGCTCAGGGGTGTGGCAGTCCTTCAGGGAGCACAAAGACGCAGCAGGTACCATCGGCGCAGCTACTCCCTTGGCCAAAGGTGCAAAGAAAAGGAAGCCCCCAAGAGTGAGCGAGAGCATTCAGACAGCAGCTCCTGTGCACCTGCAGGCCCAGGGGACCGGGAGGAGACAGACGCTCCCCTCGTGCTCCGTGTGTGCACAGCAGCGAGCAGATTTCTGTCCCAAATGCTGAACTCAAGAGAAAGAAGCGAGAAGTCTTTCTGTGGGGAGGTGGGGTAGACATGTGACAGTTACGATCCAGACAGGAAAAGGCATTTTTCTGCTTCCTTGCACTGTTCATTCTGGTCACCCTAGGCTGGGAATCGGAGAAACACCATCTCCTGTACTTGGGCTTCTGGTCCCGTGTGTGCATGCACGTGGTCTTTAAGGGCCCGTTAAGATGGGGAGACAATTCAGACTCACTTATCTATCCCAGAAAAACTGATGTGCATGGCTTCCAGCGTGTGAGCACAGCCCTTCTGGTTAGCCCAGGGCTCAACCTCAGAAGTTAGCTCCTTAGGCTGCAGCAAGAGGATAGGTTTCGATAGGCGTGCGTGTTGCCTGCGTACTTGCTGTGGGTCAGGCACTGTTCGGAGTGCGTGGTGTCAATCAGTGTATTTGATTGTACTCTTGGCAGTTTTCCAGATGAGGCTGCTAAGGTACAACACGTCCGTAGCTAAGATTTCACAGCTGGTTAGAAGGCGGCCAGGCTCTGAGATCAGTCTTGAGTGGCCACAGAGCCTGTTGTGTTTGCAAGCAGGGTGCCTTGGGGTCTTTATAAATGATAAGGTGTTCGGATGTGACCTTGGTTGTGTCGTGTACATTTAAGGAGCTGAACAAGCGTAGAGTTATGTGGAAGAGCTTTGCCGATGAACTTGCCTGCAAGAAATGGGGCGCAGGAAAGCAGAGGCGACTTGAGGAACCGGAACGCCGGAGCTGCATGCCATCGAGCGCTGCCTTGCCCTGAACACCAGGCCCTTTGTCCCTCTGCTTCTGTAGTCAGGGTTCCCGGCACGCAGCTGTGAGGGCAGTCCTGCTGTGGTGTCCAGACGCCCCCGCATTTCCCTAGAAACAGTCGAAGCCCCACAGACCCCTGGACTACAGCAGCTTGCCTCTCACGTTCCGGGCCCTGTCTCCGTGGAGTGGATATGTGCTGAGAGATAGCTGTGGAATATATTCATTTCCATAAGCAGGTATAATTATTACTGTCATCCATCTGCACAGCCGTGACTAAGAATTTATGGGGCGTTTTAAATTTCCTCACCTGTGAAAATAGTCTGGGTTTTTCCTGGGATGTTGAGTGTGCCTCCAAGCTGAAACGGAGACCTTGTCATTGATTGGCTTTGGACATTGGGCAGGCCAGGCCTGTATCTGCCCAAGATAGAAAGCCCCACTTATTAGTCACGTCTGTGTGGAAGACTTTATGCTAATGACAGATTTCATAATATTCCCATCGTGTAATTATTGATTTTCTGAAGCTTATGCAGAATTAACAACCCAGCCTCCAATTGTCTCTCAGAATGGGGCATGAAAAGTTCACATATTTGGCAAATTAAAATCAATATTTTCAATCTCTCCTAAAGGTAATTTTCCTAATTTAGTGGACTTTTTCTTAACATTTATTTTCACTTTTAATTATAAAATGGCAAGTTATTGATTTTCCTATATAACCTTTTGAGGCCCCGAGTGCATTTTTATTGCTAACCCAGGGTGGGGGTGGGGACAGCCACAGCACTTCCTAATGGGGGCCTTTAATTACTTACTGAACAATATTAATTTGCTGTGATAAATTATGACATTTTCTCTCCCTCATACACACATTCCAGGGGAAGCATTTAGAAAGCAGTTAGGAAAGGTCTGTCATTTAGGGTGGTTTTACTGAGTTTTTCAAGTCCTATCTGTTAGACCTCTTGTGAATTCTTATCCAATAGCAGTCTCCACAGAAGTGGCCGAATGTAAATATATAATAAAAACAAAACATGCCGTGAACACACACGGGTGTCAATCGTCTGCAGAGACAGGCGGGTGTTTTCCCTGTAAATCTAAACAGCATTGATTATTTCCCTAAGTCTAGCCCTCCTCAGACGGCCTGAGGTTTATACTCAAGACAAATGATTGATAAGTCAATTAGAATCCAGATGGATCTTGTCGACTCTGGCCAGTGTCTGTGGCCGTATCATTTTGGAGTTGAAATAAAATTGAAGGCACGAAATAGCTGTGGATGATCTGTAAGAATCTGCCTCAGTTACGTATTGTAATTAGAAGCATTTTCAAGAATCCAGAGGAAGAGGCCTCAAAAGGGTTTTTTTTTTTTTTTAAAGATTTATTTCTGTATTTGAAAGAGTTACAGAGAAGGGAGAGGGACAGAGATCTTCCATTTGCGTTCCCCCTCAGATGGTCATGGGCACATGGCCAGGGCTGGGCCAGGCCGAGGACAGGAGCTTCCTCCAGGTCTCCTGCATGGGCAGCAGGGACCCAAGCTCTCAGGCCACCTTCTGCTGCCTTCCTAGGCCATTAACAGGGAGCTGGCTGGGAAGGGGAGTGGGCGGGACACGAGCCGGCATCTATGTGGTTTGCTGGCCTTGTGGGCAGTAGCTTTACCCACTATGCCACCATACTGGCCCCAGATGGAATTCTTAAACTTTCCCTTCCAGGGTGGGAAAGCCTTTTGCCTTCTAGTAAAAAATATTTTTTTAAGAAAAAGCAGTGTCTTTGAGAGATAACCATGATATCTAACTCAAAAAACTGTTGATTTAAAACTCCTTTAATCTTCATAAATAAGTAAAACAAAATACAAATAAATAACAGAAGGTTACCCAGAGTTGTCTGCATGGTACTGACAAATGGCGAATTTATCAGTTTCCCGGTTGCCAGTAAGATATACGCCGCGAGGCTCACCCACACGTATATCATAGCTGCCAACTCATTTCTGTGATTAAATATTCCATCAGCAGGGCTATAAGGCAGCAAAGTTTAACAAGATTCATAAGCTGCACCACTTGAACACACATAACTCACTTCAATGGATGGCGAGTACCCCGCCTGCAAGGGAAAAGGGAATTGAGTTAGATTACACTGGGAGACGTGATCGATAGGAAAAAGATCTAATGAAATGCAGATCTAAGGTAGAACCGGGTCCCTCTGACAAGAAACACACAATTAAAATCAGAAGTGGAGCGGTGCAGGGCAGGATCGGCCTGAGAACCCTGACGATGGCAGTGCGCAATTACTGCTGACACCGTCGTCATTGGCGGCGTGGTCTGAATGGACACACCTCCTGAAAAAACCAATTTCTCGTCTTGAGAGAGAATGACAAAACCCCCCTAGGCGACAGATACTAAAGGCAGGGGCTTGCCGGGCTGCAAAGCCGCATTGGCG